CCTATATGGGGCAGGTTTTGAAGGCACGAAGGAGTCATGGAGACTAACTGAGGTTTGGCACTGAAAGAGACCAGGAAAGGCCATTAGCAAAGGTGTAGCCTCAGTTTTGGTGAAGACCCCCAGGATTGATGGAGTCATAGATAGAATGGGGCTTGGCACCCTGAGATGCCAAAAGAGGTCATTGATGAAAGTGCAGCCTCAGTTGCAATGCAGACCCCAGCATATTGGAGTTGCCAGGACCCTGTAATGACCACCAGGGGCAGTGGCAGGTGTGGAGTGGAGCCAGTCTGAGACAAGCTGTGTGTGCTGTGGACGGCAGGGCCACAGAAGTGGAATCTCCCAAGGCATCTGGAACCCAGAAGATGGTGAGTGAATCCAAGATGTCCAACCTTGAGCTACTTTGTTGTAGTTTGGTTTTTATTTTGTAATTATTATTTTTACTTTTGTGTATGAGTGTATTGCCTGCAGGTATGTAAATGCCCCCATGTCATGCAAAGCCTGAGGAGGCCAGAAGAGGGTGTTGGATCCCCTGGAACTGGAGTTACAGACCCTTGTTAGCTACCATGTGGGTGCTGGGAACTGAATCCTGGTCCTCTGGAAGAATAGCAAGTGTTCTTAACCACTGACCCATCTCTCCAGCCCTGAATTTTGTTTTTTATTAAGTGTGTCTGAATCTTCCCTTTTGACATAAGGCAGTATTTAGCTTGTTTTGGATTTTACAGGAGCTTACTGTAGTAAGAGACTTGTTAAAGAGACTTGGAACTTTTAAAGTGTTGGAAATTTTTTTAACTGTGGGACTTTTTTTTCTTTTTCTTTTTTTTTTTTTCGGTCTTTTTGAGACAGGGTCTCCCTGTAGCCCCAGCTGTCCTGGAACTCACTATGTAGACCAGGCTGGCCTTGAACTCACAGAGATCTGCCTGCCTCTGCCTCCCAAGTGCTGGGACTACAGGCATGCGCCACCACGCCTGGCAACTGTGGGACTTTTAAAGTTGTACTGTTTTAGCTGCGCATGCCTTTAATCCCAGCACTCAGGAGGCAGAGGCAGGCAAATCTCTGTGAGTTCAAGGCCAGCCTGGTCTACATAGTGAGTTCCAGGGAGACCGTGGCTCAAAAGGCCAAAAAAAAAAAGTTGTACTGTTTTGTTGTAATATTAATATTAACATGATATCTTGAGCACAAGAAATGGAAAGGTTGGGGTTTAATAGTGATGTATTTGTGTGTCAAGTTGACAAGGGGTCAATTGTGCTGGATAGCTTTAGTGTGAACTTGACACACCTGGATGGAGGGAGCCTCAGTTGAGGATTTTCCTCCATTGGATTGGCCTATGGCCATGTTTGCGGGGCATTTTCTTTGTCCTTTGAGTGATGTGGGAGGGCCCAGGCCACTGCGTGTGGTGCCACCCCCGGGCAGACGGTCCTGCGTTGTATAAGAAAGCAGACTGAGCACGGTGAGCAGCGTTCCTCCATGGTCTGTGCTTCAGCTCCCGCCTCCAGGTTCCTCCATCCAGGTTCCTGCCCTGAGTTCCTGCCTTGGCTTCCCTCCCCTGATGATGGACTGTTGACTATAAACCCTTTCCTCCCCAAATTGGTTTGATCAATGCTCAATGTTTTATCACAGGAATAGAAAGTAACTAAGGAAGTCCTCGCATTCGTCCCTGTCCCCCCCACCCCCCTTCCCCACCCCCGTCCCTTGCCTTCTGGGGGGGGGTTTGCATAAGGAGGCCAGGGGTGGATGTGGGACACAGAATGATGGGATGTCTTCCTCTATTACATTTCACCTTATTTTTAAAATACTTTTATTCTTAAATCAGCGTATCATGTATTGCATACCATGACATTGTTGAACAAACTGTTTTTTATGGTTCTCCCCTAATTACCCCACCCCTGCTACCTCTGACCTGCCCTCATAACGCCTCCTGATGATTTTCATTTTTATGGTCCATGTGTCCTTTCTCCTTCCTCCATGTTCCTCATCACCTTCTACTACTCTGTCTGGGTCTCCTTTTTAGATCTTTAGACTTGACTCACACTTACAGCTGTTTAGATACACACATCCTGCCACAGAGCGGAAGTCTTGTGCCTTCCTCCTAGATAAAACCTCTATCTTCAGGGAAGCTGGGTAAACAACAGGATGTTCTAAAGGGAAGTGAACAACAGAACATTTTGAGAGGAGGTAAAACATTCTGTCCTTCGGGGAAGCTCATTAAGTTCAGGAAGTAAACAATTCAATAGCTGCAGGAAATCCCTAAAAATCAACCAGGTTCACTACCTCCCTCCCTACCTCCCCAAAACTCCGGAGAGACTGAGGGACACTATCAGACACGCTGAGATGCCTAAAAGCGGCTCAGATCAGCCAGGGCCTCCTGGAAGAGGCTCAGACCAGCTGAGCTGCCTGGACAGAAGACCTCCAGCCTGGTGAGCTGCCAGCAGGCTGTGCAGTGCACTCCAGGTTTCCTGCTTTTGGGAGCTGTCACCCATGCTGGGGCACACTTTGGTGATAAAGCTGTCTTTGAGTCATTTCTGCGCCTTTTAAGTAACCCTGATAAAACTCATTGGTTCACTAAGTTTGGTTTTGATGGTCCTTACTCCGATCTGTCATTGGCTCCCTACCTGGGATGAGCAGACTTTTGTTCACATCTCCCCACAAGTAGTGTCACATGAGAGACACTTGCACATTTGTGTTCATTGCTGCACTGGTCACAATAGCAGAGGATGGAACCAGTCTAGATGTCCATCTACAGGTGAACGGGTAGTGGTAACATGGTACTACATACACAACAGAGTACTATTTTGCTGTAAAGAAAAACAAAATCATGACATTTGCAGAAAATGGACAGACCTAGAAAGTATAATATTAAGTGTGGTAACCCAAACTCAGAGAGACAGAAAAAGCACATTCTTCTTTATAGGTGAATCCACCTTACTTTTTAAGACAAGGTCTCTCACCGAACCTGTTACTCACAGATTACCTAGGCTGACCAGTGAGCCCCAGTGATGCATCTGTTTCTGTCCCTTCCTCTGGGGCCGAAAGCATTCTTATCCTCCAAATGTCTGTGTTTCAAACGTATTATATACATTAATACCAGGACTGGCATTGCCTGGAGAAAAGACAATCATGGGCTCAGGAAGCCCCACACTCATGGTGAGAACCAGAAGAAACAAGAGGTCGTGCCCATCTATCCGAGAATGTGTGTTCCCTCCTGACAGAGGAAGGTGACCTCTACCATGACCCCCCCATCCACAGTCCCCTCATTGCATGGCTTGTCACACAATATGGAAATTGCTCTTAGATCTAGGGTTCAGATCTCTGACACCTGGGGAGCTAGCCAGTGTGGTAGTGACTTACAATATGGATATATTCTGAATAAATGACTTACCTAAACTTGCAACCAAAAAGTTAATCTTATCCTAGCTTGCTTATAATGTTAACAAGCTCTCTGACCTATGCGATCTTCTTATGACCTGAGCATATGATCCTAATCCCTCATGACCCTTCCTTGCCCTGGACTCAGAATAATGTATGAATGTGTGATGAATGCTTTCTATATCAAAGGGTTGCAAACAGTGCTTATCCCATTGGAAACAATGAGAGAAATTGATAATGTTTGTTTGTAGTTGTGTGTGTGATATTCTAGGTCCAGGGATCAGAAAGAACAAAATCTCTGATAAGAAAAGGATCTGAGTTTTCCTTCCCCATTTCATTCTGAATATACTGTTTTAATAAAACAAAGAGCAGACCCTTGCTCAGGGGCACAGTTTCAAGAGAGAAACCTGAAGGAACAGGTTCTCAGCAGTTTAGTCTACTCTTGGCTGAAATGTTTGCTGAATCAGGCTGTCTGTATTAAGGCATAATTGTAATGTGACACCTGTTAACTGCCCCAAGCCAGGAATTATTCTTTTCCTGCACAGAAAATATACGTGAGTGTTCTAGTTTGCTTCTCTGTTACCATGTTAAAACATTGAAAGCCAATTTGGGGAGGAAAGGGTTTATTTCAGCTTGGGTCATAGTCCATCATTCCATGGACATCAGTTCAGGAACCTGAAGGCAGGAACTGAAGCATGGCTGAATAGTGGCCTGCTCTCTATATTAGTTATTTTTCTGCTGCTGTGATAAAACAGCAGGATTACGGCAACTTATAGAAGACTTTATTTTGGCCTAGGTCCCAGGGGGATAAGACTGCAGTGTGGTGGCGGCCAACCAGAGCAGAAAGCTAAGAGCTCACATCTTCAAGCACTCACAGGAAGCAGAAGGAAGCAAAGGGGCAGCAGAATGAGACTATAACTTTGAAAGTTCATCCACAGTGACATAGTTTCTCCAGCAGGGCTTCACCTCCTAAGGATTCCATGATTGTACCAAACAGCACCACCAACTGTGGAACATATGCCAGGTGTTGAAATACTTGAGCCTGGGGGACATGTCTCATTCATACCACAACATTCCCCCTGGCCTGCTTGGCTACATTACTTATACAGTGCAGACCCACCTGCCCACAGATGGCTCTGCCCACAGTGGGCTGGGCCTTCCTACCTCAATCATCAATCAAAAAAAAAAATGTCCCACAGCTAATCCAGAGGAGGAAATTCCTCACTAGAGGTTTCCTCTTCCCAAGTATCTCTAGTTTGTGTGGAGTTGACAAAAACTAACTGGTACGGTGAGGAACAAATCACTTCCTCCCTTAGTGATCTGAACTCAAGTCTAAGAACAACTCACATCCTCAGAAAACCCTAAGAAAAGTCCTTCTATGTCTTTCAATCTTCAGTATTCCATGGCTGACCTCACTGCTGATTTAAACACCATGTGGATAGTGACCATGCCCTGGTTTGGTCTGGACTTCCAGGGACGTCACTACTATTGCTTACAACATCTCCTAGGGACGAAGGACAGATAATTTACCAGCAGCCTGATCCTCCACAAATCAGATGGCACTTCCCCTTTGGTGGTTCGTGGGTGACTAAAACTTTTCTCACAGGCTGACTTCATGTTGGACCTCCTCCCCGCAACCCCACTTCTTCCCCTACAGGACGCTGCACTACCTCTAGCAGACATAGGATGCTGGCCCTGCTGCTGCTGCCCCTGCTGTGGGCTGGTGAGTGGACAGAGGGAGGGGAATGGGCAGGGGACAGAGCAGCACCTGAGCCTTCCTGTCCCCCCAGGGTCCCTGGCCCGGGATCCAGGTTTCAGTCTCCAAGTGCCAGAGTCGGTGACAGTGCAGGAGGGCCTGTGTGTGCTGGTACCCTGTTCCTTCTCCTATCCCCAACATCGGGGGCATTACAACCTGCTGCAGCCGCTCCACATCGCCTGGTTCTGGGAAGAGGACAACGTCTTCTATGATGATCCCGTGGCCACAGACAAACCAGACCGAGAAGTGAAGACAGAGACCAAGGGTCGATTCCACCTCGTTGGGGACACCAAGACCAACAACTGCTCCCTGAGCATCACAGGAGCCAGGAGGGAGGACAGAAGACGTTATGTCTTATATATTGAGAGAGGAAAGGAGAAATACATTTACAGGGAGAAGCTGAACTTGAGGGTGACAGGTGGGCAGGGGCCCCAGTGGATGATCTAGGTTCCTGAGGCCCCATATAAGAGCACACAGGGCATTAGGCTCCCTCTGCTCTGGACTTAAGGCGGGGTGGCCAGAACGGATACAGGACCTGGGGACAGCTTGGTCACTTTCAGGGTCATGGGGTGGGGGCAGTCTTCACCTCCTTGAGCCCAGACACCTTCTTGTGTCCTCTTCAGCCCTGACAGAGAAACCCATCATCCACTTGGAGGAGCCTCTGCAGGCCGGCCGCCCTGCAAATCTGAGCTGCAGCCTGCCAGGGTCTTGCCGGGGAGGAGGACGGATCAGCTTCTCCTGGATAGGGGACGTCATCAACTCCATGGACCCTAGGACCCTCCGCAAGCCAGGGCTCGCCTTCACCCCACGGCCTCAGGACCATGATACCAACCTCACCTGCCAAGTGAAACTGGAAAGACCTCTGCTGACCACAGAGAGAACTGTTCAGCTCAGTGTGTCCTGTGAGTGCTGGGAGGGAGGGATGGGTCCCCATGGACGGTGGACAGTGTGTGTGTGTGTTTGTGTGTGTGTGTGAGAGAGAGACAGGGAGACAGAGACTGACATAGAAAGAAACAGGAAAGACAGACAGAGAGAGGTGGAGATATAACCCCAAAGAATTCCTTTGTGGAGCAGAGCATTTGGAGTCCATGTGCAGAGTGGGTCAGAGACGCCATCTCCTGCTTTCTGGTCCTGTGGTCCTTCCAGGGCACACACAGCCCACACTGCTTGCTCTAAGCAGGTACCCTGTCTTCCCTTCCAGATGCTCCACAGAACCTCAGCATCAGCCTCTTCTTCAGCAATGGCACAGGTAGGAAACCGTCTGTCCTCTCAGGGCTGTGATGGGAGCTGCTCACAAGCCAGGACTCAGAACTTGGGGAATGAGACCTTCTCTCTGTCTTCAGCCCCTGTCCTGTGGTGAGCCCACCCACCTCACAACCAATATCTCCCCTGGAAAGACCCAAATAATGCTTTTTACTGATCCCTTTACAAACTTCTTGCTGATTGTGATGGACTAAACATGGAAATATTTCTCTCAACCTTTCCTGAGTACAGCTCAGGGGTGTTGAGAGCATTCAGAAGGTTGTGTAATCAGTGTGCTGAGTTCCTTTCAAGGTGGGAAACAGAAACTGCAGCATTAGACAGCTGCCTGTCTCCCCGTCTTATCCCAGCACCCAACCTTCCACCCCGTGTCTCCATGATTTTGTAGTGTTGAGGACCTATCTCAGAGCCACGAGTGTGCTAAGGAAGTTCCCTACCACTGAGCCCATCTCTCAGTCCCACTCCGGATTCTAGGCAGGGACTCTGCCACTGAGCCACACCCCAGCCCCTCACTGGGGGATTCTAGGCAGGGGCTCCACCACTGAGCCACACCCCAGCCCCTCACTGGGGGACTGTAGGCAGGGGCTCTACCACTGAGCCACACCCCAGCCCCTCACTGGGGGAGCCTAGGCAGGGGTTCTACCACTAGGCCTCACTCCAACCAATTGCTGGGGGATTCTAGGCAGGTGCTGTACCACTGAGCCACACCCCAGCCCCTCACTGCTGGGTTTTAACCAGGGGCTGTACCACTGATCAGCTACTCTCAGTCTCCATGACTGAACGCTCTGGGCACTGAGCACTGCCTCCCCCCACCAGGTGCTTGTCAATCTTTCTCCACAGTATGTGCTCCTCTGTCTCTGATCTGAGCATCTTTTCAGGGGGCTGCCAAGAGGCCTACTCACCACAGCTCACCCAGTCTCTCCTCTCTTCCTCTCTCCTCTCTCTCCTCTCTCTCTCTCTCTCCCCGCCTCACCATGTCCCCTCTACTCTCCCACTCCCCTACCCAGGCCGATACTTTCCACCACTCCCTGGTTCACAGACCTGCACATTTTGTTCCTCCCTGACCCTTACCACTGTTCTGCCCCAGGGGTGATCAGAACATCCCTTGGATCAGCTGCCCCTCTGTACAACTGTGCTGCCAAGTCAGCAGGTCTCAGGACCTTCCCCTTCCTCTTACCCACTTCTGTCCTTCCCTCCCCATCTGCCACAGTCAAGCAGGTCTTATCTCTAAGTCCAGGCTGGCCTTGAACCCTCAGAGCTCTGCCTGCCTCAGCCCCCTGGGTGCTGGGATTAAAGGCGTGCACCACCGCAACTGGCTTTTATTTTAATTTTTAAATTTAAAGCACTGGCTGCTCTTGCAAAGGACTTGGGTTCGATTACCAACACTGGCAGGGAGTCTCACGACCATCTGTTAACTCCAGCTACATGGAATCTGGCACCCTCTTCTGGCCTCTGTGGGCATTGCACATGGGCCTCTGTGGGTTGTGCACAGACATACCTGCAGGTAGACACTCATACATACAAAATAAAAATAATGTTTTAATGATTTATTTTCACTTTCTGTGTATTGACGACTGTGGGGGGTGTTTCTGCACATGCGCACATGTTCCTCCAGAGGCCAGAAGAGGATGCCAGATCCCCTAGAGCTGGGGTTACAGGCAGTTGTGAGCCACCTGATGTGGGTGCTGGAAACTGAACTCAGATCCCCTGGAAGAGCACCAAGCATTCTTAACTGCTGAGTCCTCTCTCTAGTCTTCTTTTTAATATTTTTACTTTATAAAAAGTCTTAAGGCCGCTATACTGGTGAATCCCTTTAATCCTAGTGCTCAGGAGGCAGGGGCAAGGGTATCTCTGTGAGTCTGAGGCCAGCCTGGTCTACATAGTGAGTTTCATGCCAGTCAGGAATCCAACACCATCTTCTGACCTCCAGGGTCCTTGCATGATGTGGGTGCACTTACACACATGCAGGCAATACACTCATACTCATAAAATAAGAATAATAAGACCAAAAAAAAAGAATAAATAAAAATGAGAAAAAATATACGCTGTGGTCTGCATCCTCACCAGCTTTTGTTATTTGTTTTTTTTAAAGATTTATTTTACTCTGTGTATGTGTGTGGAAGAATCTGAGTGGGTATGTACATGAGTGCAGTGCCTGTGCAGCCCTGAAGAGGACATTAGATCTCCATGGAACTGGAGTTGCAGACAGTTGTTAGCCACCTTGTGGCTGCTGAGACCCAAACCCGGGTCCTCTGCAAGAGCAGCCAGTGCTCCTAACTGCTGATCTATCTCTCATTCCATTATTTGTTTTCAGAATGATTGCTGTTCTGACTAAGGCCAGATGGAATCTCTTTGTAGTTTTGGTTTGTAATTCTCTGTTGGCTAATGATGTCATTTTTTCAGATATTTCTTGGCCATTTCTGTCCATCTTGCTTTTCTATTATTTTTTTTCTTTAATTTTTGAATAGTTTCACACAATTATTCTTGATTATTTTCACCCCCTTCAACTCCTCCTAGAGTCACCCCTCTTTCCCAGCCCACCCCTCCTTCTGTTTTTTAAACCAGTACAAATCGTGCTTAATCTTCGTAGCATTGTCTGCTCACTTCTTTCTGGCTCCTTCTCATCTTGGCACACCTCTCCCAGCTGCCCTACCCCATGTGACAGGCATCCTCCTCTTTGAGGTCACAGATCATGCCACACCTTTCTGACAACTGATGTGACCCCAGGAGCATCACCCCTTGCCCTGCGACTCATCCCTCCTCAGCCACTGCCTCCCGGGAGGCTCTCTCGGCATGTGCTCAGTGCAGGGATCTGGGGAGACACTGTGCAGCAGCCACTGACTTAGTCACTTTTCTGGTGGGTGTGATAATGCACCTGACAAAAACAACTTGAGAAACATGGGCTTTATTTCAGCCCACACTTCGACATTTCAGTCTATCATGGTGGAGAATCCAGTGGCAGGAGTGTGAGATGACTGTTGGTGCTGAGCCTGTTTTCTCCCAGCCCATAGTACGGTGTCCCCTATAGTTAGGGTGCTTCTTCTTTGTTCAGGTTGCCCAATCCAGAAACTCCCTCACAGACATGCCCGGAAATCTGTCTCCTTGGTGATTCTCGATGCTGTCAAGTTGACGGTACCAACCACTGTACTCACACAAGTACTTTTTCCTTAGTCCTCAGGATCTTGACCGGAGGCCTCTCAGTGCCTGTCATGGAGGGCCAGTCCCTGCGCCTGGTGTGTGAGACTGCCAGCAACCCTCCTGCCTCACTGAGCTGGTACCAGAAGGCAAAAGCCCAGGGTCATTCCCAGATATCAGCATCTGGGGTCCTGGAGCTGCCCTCTGTGGAGGATGGAGAATTCACCTGCCAGGCTCAGCACTCACTGGGCTCCCAGCACCTTTCCCTGAGCCTTTCTGTACAGAGTAAGGAGCAGGACACTCCCTCTGGAGCGGGGTGGGGGTGGGGGTTTTTCCATACAGTGTAAGGAGCAGGACACTCCCTCTGGGGTGAGGGGGGGATCCAAACTCACCAGTGGAGTTTGGGATGGGGGTGGGGCAAAGTCATGGGGACAGAAGCCATCTCCTCCGTCTTTCAGAAAGTTCCTGTTCCTGCCTGTGTGCAGTTGAGAATCAGGAGGGTTCCTGGCCCCTGGTCCTCACCCTGATCAGAGGGACACTCATGGGAGCTGGCTTCCTCCTCACCTATGGCCTCACCTGGATCTACTATACCAAGTGAGCAAGCCTGCCTGTCTCTGAAGAAGGGTTCCAAAGTTTCACTGGTGTCTGGGCTGTCCTGACCCATCTGGAGTTAGAATTAAAGGGCTTCACTATGATTACTATCCTGTGGGCTCTGCAGGTGTGGTGGTGCCCTCCAGCCCAAGAATGTGAAGAGTCACTGAGCCATTTCTCATCACTGGGGACTAAGGCCGCGTCACAGAGCCGTGAGGTACATTCCACCTGGGAACTCTCCACTCAGAGCCAACAGATGCCTCTGCACCCCGTGGACCGCAGTCCCTGCCTACTTACCCACTGATCTGTACGGATCCCACCTCAGTACACTGCATCTCCACCACCCTTTCCCTCCCACCTTGTCTTACTCGCTCCCAGCCCTGTGAGAGGCATGAAATGGGCACCCTACCCCACATGACCAAGAACTCATGTTACCACTTGAGTCTCTGGCCCCCCAACTTGCCTATCAGTGTAGACATGGATGTATGTCCAGTCATGAGCAGAACTTTTCCTTTGCAGTTGAAATGCCTACCTCATTAAATTACTGTAAGAGATCATAGTATTTAAATATAAGCAAACAGTTCATTAAACTATACAACATAAAAAGTCATCTCAAGGTCAGCAAGATGCCTCACTGGGTAAAGATGATGGCTGGGCAAGTTTTGTTATTAAGTTCAATCATCAAGCCCACACAGTGGTGGAAGGAAAGAACGAACTCCACAGACTTGGCCTCTGACCTCCATATGCCTCCTGTGACATGCACTACCATAGACACACATATATACCATATGCTAATAGTAATGACCTCCATATGTCTCCTGTGACATACACTATTGTAGAAAAACGTATAAACCATATGCTAATAACAATGACCTCCATATGTCTCCTGTGACATGCACTACCGTAGACACACATACATACCACATGCTAATAATAATAATAATAATAATAATTAACAATACAGTTGAGAGACGGACTCGCTGTAGCCCCGGCTGGCCTGGAACTCGCTATATAGACTGGACTGGCCTTGAACTCACAGAGATCCGCCTGCCTCTGCCTCCCAAGGTCTGGGATCAAAGTCATGCGGCACCACGTCTGGCAATACTTTGGTGTTTATTTGGATGGTGTTTATTTTTATGAGAGGACTTCATGAATGAATATATTCCTGGTTATTGTTCACTGAAAAAACAATGACATTATCCTCTAGACAAAAAGGACAGAAGGAAACACAAATCCCAGTATTCCAGCTGCCGAGGTCTAAGGCCAGTCCACACAGCAAGAACCCACCACAAAGTAAAAAGCGAGGGCTGGGGAGATGGCCAGAGGCGAAGAACACTGGCTGCTCTTGCAGAGGACCCGGGTTCGGTTCCCAGCCACCACACAGCACCTCACAACCCTCTGTAACTCCAGTTCCAGAAGAGCCAATCCTCTCTCCTGTCCACAAGGGGAGCCTGCACTCATATGCTCAGACTCCCACACAGGCACACATGTGTACAAGCACATGCTACACATGCAGACAAGCAGGCACATGCAAACACACATAAGTTTTAAAACAATGACTCTTACCTGTATTTCTCTAATATTTTTTGTAGTGTACCTGCTGTCAAACTCTAAAAATATATTTTTTTAATTTTATGTGTATGAGTGCTTTGTGCATATGCACATGTGCCATGTAAGTGCAATGCCTGGATAGGCCAGAAGAGACTGTCCTGTCCCCTGGAACTGGAGTTATGGATGGTTATTAACTGCCATGTGAGTGCTGGGAACAGAACCTGGGTCCTCTGGAAGAACAGCAAGTGTTCTTAACTGCTGATCCACCCCTTCAGTGCCATATCAAACTCTTCACTCTAGGATTAGGGACATCAGAAGCTAACGATCCTTCAGAACAGGACACAGGTTAACTAGATACCAGATATTTCACAACAAAACTGACCATTCCCCCCTGAGATGCTTAATTTTTAAAAAAAACTTGTTTTTATTTTATGTGAATGAGTTTTTACCTGTATGTGCGTATGTGCACCATGTGTGTGCAGTGCCCAGGGAGCCAGAAGAGGATGTTGAATCCCCTGGGGTTGAAGGTACAGACAGATACAATCCACCATGTGGATGCTAGGAACCAAACCTGGGTCCTCTGCAAGAAGAGTGTCTTAACTGCTGAGCCTCCTCTCCAGCCCCAGTGAAGTTAATGCTGATTGACAACTTGAAGGGATGTGGAATCAACTGGCAGATTCATCCTGGGAGGGTCTGTGATGGCATTTCCAGGCAGGATTGACTCCCTTAGAGTAGGAGGCCCTTCCAGTAGATGACCAGGTATAAAGAGATCACAGGAGAGAACAGTGCTGCTAACCTGTGTCACTTCAGGTCCCGCTGGTGAGCGCCTCAATCTCTGCAGCTGACACTAAGACCACTGCCATCTTGTACCAAAATCAGACTCTGCCTTCTTTGGACTTCCAACATGGACTGAAGACCAGAAAATCTCTGGGAATCTTCCAGGCCAATAGCACTGGATTGGGGCTGCAGAGGCTGCCAGCTCAGTGCACTAAAGAGCGGACGAGTTCTCAGCATCCCTTGCGTGCTGACGGCCATCCTTGGACCATCCCCTCCCTATCACTTAAGCCAATCTAGAGAATTTGCTTTTATAAATATGCACTTTCTCTCAGTTCTGCTCCTCATGAGGTCCTGACCTCAAACACCTCCCACCACATTAAGGCTTCTGTGAGTGTCCCTCTGTCACCATGCTCTGGGGTCAAGAGGCCACTCCAAGGTCTTCACTGCATAACCACTGAGTCTAAACTTTCAACATTTTAAGTCTCCTTCACAAAGGGGATTCTTAGGGTTCATGTTAAATTTTTTCTTCTTTATCACACCTCCTCCCTTCACATCCTTTTTTATTTGTTAATGACCCACTGAGTCCAATTAGTGCTGCCTGTTGGGATGTTGACTGATCTTGTCTTGATCTTGTGCAGGTAACCACAGCTGAAGAGAGCTGTGTCATGTCCAGAAGACAGATGTCCACAGCTCTCCTCCCCATCCTCTGGCTCTTACATTCTTTCCACACCTCTTGCTTGATGTTCCCTGTGCTTTAGGGGTGGGGTTCATGTAGATATCTCATTTAGGACTGGGCACTCAATAAACACTTATGCTCAAGACTTTGACCAGTTATGAGTCTCTGCATCAACTGGTAGCCCTTGCAGAGAGAAGCATCCCTGACCAGGATTGAGGGCAGCTCTAATCTATGGATATACACATAAATATTTAGAAGGCAGTTTGACAACATGTTTATGAATAAACAGCAGTAGATTCTCTCTAGGGCCTGGATTTCCCAAGCCATGGGCTTTTGACCAGGTTTACAGAACCAGGCCTGAATTCCTTACTGTGGTACAGGACTCAAAGCCAATCCAAGAGTACTTGGTTACCCACGTAACCTCATACCACAATTGCACCACTGGGCACATCATGCCTGTTGGGTCAGCGTTGTACAACCAACATTCTCACAAGTGTACCACTGACACCCTTTCTCCCTCTGTTCCAACTTCTTCACATCGTTCTTTGAAACTATTTTCATCTAAAATTACCATTGGTAATCACAAGTATTATGAATTTCATCTCAATGGAAATTATCATTAGTTTGTTTTGAAAACCTCCCTATCTGAGATTAACTCCACATCTTTTTTCATGAAAATAGTACACACTTCTCTCCAGTTGTGAAGTTGGGGTTCTTTTACTTTTGTTAGAATTATTAGGGTGTTAATAAGCCATATTATAGTTATGCCTGAATTAAGAAACACCGTGAGGTACTGGAGAGACAGCTCAGCAGTTGAGAGCACTGTCTGCTCTTGCAGAGGACCCGGGTTTGTTTCCCAGCACCCACATGGAGGCTAACAACCATAACTCTACTTCCAGGGGATTCCACAACCTATTCTGACTTCCATGGGCATTGCAAGCATGTGGCACATCTACACACATGAAGACAGAACACTCATACATATACAATAAATAAAATATATTTTTAAATGAAACAGTCTGATTCTTAGCATTCACAAGGACGAGAGGGGAACCAAACCCTGAGAATCTGTTCCGTCAGATGTCTACACAACGCCTCTGGAGCCAGGCCTCGTGTTCCCCTATTGAAACAGTCTCTCTAGCATGAACTGAGGAGGCAGAAGCTGGGATCCACCCTTGTCTTATCAGAGAATCTAATAAAATAGCACACACACACAGACATACACAGACACACCACACATACACACCACACACATAAACCACATCACATACACACACCACATACATACATACCACATACACTACACACACCACATACCACACACCACACACACACACCACACACATCTACATGCACACACACATCATACACACACCACACACAATACACACATCACACCACACACACACACCACACACACATACACACCACGTCACACACACACACACACACACCACACACATCATACACACACACCATACACACACACACACCACACGCACATGCACACACGTCACACAAGCACACGCACACAATTACGTACTTTTCAATTCTTCTGTTTTCAATGAGGAAATCATTCTGCTTCCAAGACGTTGATATGTCTGTCAAGAACACACACATTCATTCACTATCTTGGGTGGAGGGCAAAGTGGGGTCCTGAGGGATGAGCCAGGTGCCCAGGTCCCAAGAGGAACAGCACATGGCTCTGTGAGCTGGTTTACCTTAAAAACAGTAAAGTTTTTATTGCAAGTTTAGGTAAAAGCCATTAGTGCAAGTTTTATCCATATTGTAGAACACAGGCCTGCAGATTGGTTCTGTGCCCTGGGTGGGCCAGCGTACATCCTGCTGCCCCTGGGCCCCTCTGTCCTGACATGGGTTAAGGGGAACCATCTCTTCTGCTGAAATCTTCACTCTGTGTCCTGTGGCTTCTGGTTGCAATTTCCTCTCCCCTTGGCCACCCCATCCTTGTCCCACTCCCAGTGGGTAGAACAGTGTGGAAGCCAGGAGAATGGAGGCTTGAGAAACTGCAGAGATGGCTCAGTTGATAAAGTGCTTGACACAGAAGCGTGAGGACGTGAGTTTGATCTCCAGGACACATGTTAAAAAATGTGGGCATGGTGTCACGTACTTGTGATCCCACCACTTCAGATGCAGAGATGGGCAGATCCCTAGGGCTCCTGGGCAAGCCAACCTAGCCTAACTGGCAAATCCCAGATCCCAGTGAGAGACTTTGGTCAAAAACCAAGGTGGGGTCCAGGAACCTGCCTCCACAGGTAAAGGCCACCTGCACCAAGATTGATGACCCGAGTTCAACTCCCGGGAACCACATGTTAGAAGCAGAGAACCAGTTCCTGCAAATTATCCTCTGATTTTCAAACACACACACACACACACACACACACACACACACACACACACACCTCCAAACAAATAAATGAATAAATAAGTAATATGTTCTCTCTGTAAATTGTAAGAAGGTGATCTTAAGATAAAGAAAGAGAAATACCCCCAAAATTGATACATTTTAAAAATAAATTTTAAACA